AATTATGAAATAACACAAATATGTCTCTAGAGAATACATAAAAAGTATAAAATTTTTTTGAAAAACTATACTTTCTCTTGGTTACTAATATGCCCCTGTTGAGAAAGACTTGGTGATTAGGTATAGAAAAACAAATTTTCATATTATCATAACATTTATTCAAAACTAATCTTCATAAAAAAATTATGAATTAAATTTATAAATAAAATTAAAAAATTTATTAATTGAAATATAGTTTAGGTTATATGCTAAGAACATGGACTCTAGAATCAAATTTTCTGGCTTTAATCCAAGATTGTCCACTGACTACAGAGTAATATTTAGTGAGTTAGTCCATCTTTGTGTCTCAACTTCATCATCTACAAAAGGGGAATAACAGCATCTATCTTCATGGGGTTGTGTAAGGATGACATAAAATACTATGTGGAAGCACTCACAAGACTGTCTGGTACACAGAATGCTCCACAAGCATTTATCATCATTAGGAAAGCATCTTATTAAAATATATCAATATTAGCACAACTTATCTTCACAAGTTTCTTTCAGTTTCTGTAAGACTAATTAAATGTACTAGGGAAACAATATTTGAAGGAAGTCTATGTCAGTTTAAAAGCCATCTATTAATAATTCAGATATGTACCTATAAGGGTTCTTTAAAGCCAGATTAAGGTAAGAACAAACAGGGTGTATATTCTTTCACAGCTCTTAACTTTATAATTCTATGAAGAGCCAACTGAATATATGAGTGATACTGTAATATACAAAAATGCACTAATCCAGTGAAGCAAAGGGTAAACCGTTGCTATTTATCCCAAAAATTCCCAAAAGACAAAAATCTTACTAGGAAAATTATTAGTTCAACTGTGAACATACTGTTTGTGGTACTCACAGAATACTTCAAGATATTCCAGGAAATAATTACAAGTACAGATTAAAACTGTAGAGCTCACTCCCAGAAAAGTTGATCACTTCCTTCTTTGTACTACCATGAAATTTTTCACATTATTTCATGACAATTGGTTGTCTATATACACTTCTCTAGTGCGAGAATATATGCTTCTTGAAGAAATTTAGACCTTACCATATAATAAGAACTCAATAAATTTTGATTTTTAAAAATGCAAAACTTGTAGAACTATACAATAGTAAATTTACTAAATGTAAAAAAAAAAAATCCATTCAAAATTTTTTTCACTCCGTGATTTTTAGTAAGGATGAATTTTTCATTTTGAAGAATTCTTTTAATAGGTAAATAATTTTTTTTCTTTTAATTTGGTCAGAGAATTACTAAGTGCTTCCAAACAACAAAACCTGGCATCATCACAAGGCCTATAAGTCTGAACAAATACATAACAAGGCAGAAAATTAATTAATGGATAAAATAAGGGAGAGAGAACCTAATGAAGACTCTAGAAGTACATTAAAATTCTTAAGGAGTTCATTAAAAATACCTTCAATGTTAACTGAAAATATTCTACTTTTTAAAAAATATTTTCTTAATTATTGATGAAACTTTATTTTATTCATTTATTTATATGCAGTGCTAAGAATTAAACCCAGTGCCTCACATGTGAAACAAAAGCCCTATCACTGAGCCACAACCCCAGCCCCAAGATTTCGCCTTTTAATTTACATCCATTTTGTCCCACTGTCCCAGATGTGGAACACCTATAAAAACTTAGTATATAACATATAATCAAAATATAATCACAGTAAGAATATAATATAATAGTAATAATATTTATAAGCTCTAGATTATTATTTACAACCTATTCTCATGTACCTGTGTCCAGTTAATCAAAATATTTACAGAACTGAAAACCTGAGATTGAATAGGTTAACTTTTGTAACTCAAAGAAACTTCTGGACCCTATCCATGTTATTCAAAGAACTGTGATAAGGAGTTCCATCATAAATGTGCTCAGTTATATGAACTATATAAGGTAAGAGACAGCTACTGTCATCCCAAGCCACTGATAATTGTTTTACTACAATCCTTTAGTTTAAAATCTGTAGAAGCCATTTCTAAAAAATGCTTCACTGGTGTTATTTACTACTTAAATTTAAAATATGATAATGCCCTAACCGAACAGACTGGCTACCAGATCTACATTCAATAGCAGAAAAGACAATTTCGTTGGTAATACCTTTCAGTGAAACCAATCCCAGGAAATAACACTAACCAATTGTTCCTCAATTAGAGGGAAGAAAATCAAAAAGAAAACAGCTCTTTAACAATGAGGGGACAGAGAAAAAGTAGCAGTAGAGGGTGAAAACCAGCAATATCAACAGGCTTACAAGAATTATGAAATAGCAGCAGAAAAGGAAGGATACAGAGAATGAAATTCCTATAACACAAACACAACTGCTTACGTCTGTACTTTCTCATCTGAAAAAAAAAACATAATAAACAATGATCAAATGTACATTGATTCTAACTTTATAAAATTGAAAACCTGAAAATCTTATACCAATAGAAAATATTGGTAAATTTTAAAAGACTCCCCTAATTTTGGCCCTATTTCCCTTTCTGTGAAGAAATTCATAAAGGGAAAAAAATAACTTCGGACTCTAAATGATGAATATTAACTATTAAGAATAGCCTCTCTATAAGGTCTGAAATAGAAGAAAAATGTACATTTCTTCCAGAGTTGTAGCCAACAATAACTTTTGCATTCTGAATCCAACTAGTTGGAAAGATGTTTATCAAAGTGTTTAATAAGAAAGTACTAAATTTAGCTTTTTTGTCTCCCTTCAGTTTCTTAAATGGCCTGAGGTCCATCAAATGCATTAAGGAGAACCTTTCCTAACTATAAATGACAAAGGGAAACATTACTCTATAGCTTTCTTCTTATAGAGAGCGGTTTTCATAGATCAGAGGTCATCAAACTGCTTCTGTAAAAGACCAGATAGTAAATATTTTCGGCTTTAGAGGCCATATGGTCTCTGTCACAAATACTCTATTCTGCTATGTAGCATGAAAGTAGCAATGGACAAAATGTAAGTGTATGGTCATGGTCCAATAAAACTTTATTTACAGCAATGACAACAAATCCTTGTCTGTAGTTTGCTAAACCCTTAGGTCGTCTTTTTTATAATCTATTCAGAGATACATTGTTTTAATATATACTATGAATTCTGAAATAAAATTTCTAGAATTTGCTTTAAAATACTTCATTTAAAAAAAAAAGAGTTGGGAGAAAGGTTAAATAAGACAATTATTGTTAAAACCAGATAATGGACACATGGAGTTCATTATACTATGCTTTATAATTTTAAAATTTTGAAAATTTCCATATTAAAGCTTCAAAAATATAGTTAGTCAATGAACCTGCTCTACAGGAAAATGAATTTCCTCACCTTATTTCCTGACCTTATTTAAGACCTTCTAAAAAAGAGTCTTAATACTTTAAAACATAATTAACATAAGATGGTTAACAAAAAGCCATTAAACCATAATGAAAAAACTTAAAAGTAATCCACAAAAGATTATATAAATTATAATAAAATATTCCACAGTTTAAAAAATAATCTCACAATATACACTGATGTTTAATTTATTTCCATATTATCTATTAATAAGTGTTATCAATTTTTGAAAAAATACATTATTTGCATTAAAAAATAATGTTTATTACTTTCTAAATAAATGTATAATTTTTTAAATTTCTGTTTTGTTTTTGTTTGGGGGGTTTGTTTGGGGGGGTTGTTGTTGTTTGGTACTGGGGACTAAACACAGAGGCACTTAATCAGATGTGGTTCTGATTTTTTATTTAGAGGTAAGGTCTAAGTTGCTTAGGGCCTTGATAAGTTGCTGAGGCTGGTCTCAAACTTGCAATCCTCCTCTCTCAGCCTCCCAAGTCACTGAGAGTACTGGCAGATGCCACAATGCCCAGCTCTTTCTGTTTTAAATACAAAGAACTAAATACTTACAAATATAACCCAGATAAATGTTTAGGGTCTTTGATAAAAACAAGAGATCCCAGACCAGAAAAATCTGAGAAATTATGACCTAAATATTTTCAGTGTTGTTTTAAGTATGTTCAACAAGCAACCACAAGATATATATTTAAATTTATTTCACCTTTGAACAAAAACCATCACACAGTGAAATTAGTCCACCATGAAGCCTATCAATACCCACAGGAGGAAGATACTTAAACCTTCAACTTACATATTCTTTTAAACTGCCTGGTAAATCATCAGAAAAGAATAACTGTAATGTTGCCCCAGTCTTGTGCAGATAATAATTTTAAGAGTTTGGAAATTTCCACATTGAAGCTTTAAAAATATAAAGTTAGTCAATGAACTAATAATATATAAAACATATAATATAAAATTAGTCTCTTGAAACAATAAAAAAGAAAAACCAGTATGTGCCAATAGAGTTTTCTAATAAATGCAACACAAATCAAAATACATAGTCTCATTCAATGCTCAAAGCCAAAAATCAACCTAAATAGAGCCTTAGGAAAGAAATATAAATGAATGTGCAATTACTCAAAGACTGAATAAATATGTTTATAAATGTTTCAAATTTTCCTCAACATTCTGAAATAGTGATTTCAAATATCAAAACTAAAAACTAATTTAAGCTAGGTTCACAAAGTTATGACATTTGAAAGAAACTAAGAACTTTGAAAACATTTGACTATCCAAATATATACTCAGTCTCAAAATTTTTTAAATCTAAAACTAATGTGGCAATAAACAATCCATAACAGATTAAGGCAGATAATAATTACAAAAAATGTGTTTACATGATATTATCTTTAAAAAGATGCACCAACATTCATTTTTCAAATACAGTACTCCCTTATAGCATTTTTTATCCAATTTTGCCTCTTGTGCACATGGCTCTTTAAATGTTAAGAGATTTTTTTCACTATTACTTGCTTAAACACACATTACTTACAAGTTAAATTTTATAAATTTTATTTCTATTGTCTTTCTTCAACAAATAAATTTTAAATAGTAATAGCATGCAAAGACATACTTACATCATACTCTGCAATTCTGCTGCAAAGCTAATAGCCTTTCCTGTACTTCTTGCACTACCTGAAGTGGCAGCAGACATTGGGCTAGCTGCAGTATTATTCATCTAAATAAAAAGGAGAAAGAAAGCTTACAAAATTTATAAATGCATGAGAAAAAACTGAAGTAATTATAAATTCCATTCAAAAATATCCACAATATTATATTTCTGATCATTTGTTTTGCATAAGTCCTATTTGCTTATACTTAATATTCTTTACGCAAATGAAATAGTATGGATGAAAAAGCTTCTTAGTCAAGTAAGATAAACAATTACTTGAGTGATAAACATTTCAGTACCTATTCTCTATAAAATGTAACAAAAGTATTCATTAAAATATTTTAATAGAGCTCAATGGTTTTCAAAATGTGTTCCAGGAAACGCTGAGATTTATTAGTAATTCTTCAGAGCTCCCAGTGGCCCCTGCACACAATTTCTTCCAGACCACCAGAAAACTGATTTTTCTACTGATTTTTATATATGGGGATTCCAAGTAAGAATTCATTTAAAGAAAGAGTTCTACAATTATAAAATATGAAATTAGAAACCTAGAGCATAATGTAATCTCTACTTGAACCAAAGTCTAAAATACAAATAAAGTCAACAGATCAGAAAAGCACTGTGAAATTTTATAATCTTATGAGTAAATAACTCATTTAATCTAAAATGTGATTTTTCCCCATAAAATTAAGCAAATGCATAATGAGAAAACTAGATTCCAATCCTAATGTCTATTATTTTAATTAATGAATGTAGCATTTGGGCGAGGGCTGTAGCTCAGTGGCAGAGCACTTGCCTAGCATGCTTGAGGCACTGGTTTGATCCTCAGGGCCACATAAAAATAAACAAATAAAGGCATTCTGTCTATCTACAACTATAAATTTTTTTAAAAAAATGAATGTAACATTAAATAAGAATTAGTAAAAAAAAAAAAAAACTAGCATTTCAAAAGTCATGAGGGGCTGGGGTTATGGCTTAGTGGTAGAGTACTCGAGTGCGAGGCACTGGGTTCAATCCTCAGCACCACATTAAAAAAAAAAAAAAAAGGTCATGAAAGTAGGTAAAAGTTCAACTACTATACAATTAAGTTTAATATCATTTCATATAAAGTTGATGTAAACTTTGCAATATTGTAATTTTCTTTAAAATAAAAACAGACTCTAAGGGACAAAAAAAAAAAATCAGAACATACCATAAAATAGCACCTAGAACTTTAAATGTTGTCTAAGAAGGCAAGTTCTGAAATTGTTACCAGACAAAAGACTCACTCATTCAGGAGACAAGGCAGTGGTAGAGAAAGACCTTCTTATGGATTAACTAAATGAGCTGAAGATGGCAACTTAAAGGATCATCTTGCCCAGGGGGTTGGTTTAGGGTCAGTTTAAATAGGAGATGGGGAAACACCAGACTGATAAGCACCTTTTCACAGGTGGGGTTTTTTTCAATTTTTTTTTAGACATTCATTGACCTTTATTTTATTCATTTATTTATATGCAGTGCTGAAAATGGAACCCAGTGCCTCACATATGCTAGGCTAATAATGCTCTATCACTGAGGTGCAATCCCAGCCCCACAAGTGGAGGTTTGTGGAACAAATGGCTTACACATCTGAAGATGCTTTTCAGTTCTGCAAATCTCAAGAAAACAGTTCAAGCTAGACTTGTCACTGATTTAGCTTGCCCAAGTGTAGTTCCTGAGTTGTTATAGAATGGCAAGAGTGGGTAGTACCCTGAGGCTCTCTTGAGCTGATCAAATTCAATATAATGAAAGAAAACATATTTCACCTAATGGGTAAGTGAAGTTAAATAGGATGTATGGAAGAAATCTAGTCAATGTCTGGCCTCAAAGACAGACTGCCTAAGTTTGATTTGCCAGCTTTGCTACCTTGCCACAAGTGTGGACAAGTGACTTAATTTCTCTGTGCTTCAATTCTGAAGAGGCAACAGGACAAAGAGCTAAGACAAGCAGCACACTGACCTTTCTGGCCTCATCTGAGGGCCCAGACAAAACCACTAGGCACAGAACAAGGGCCAAAGAAAGAGAAGAAAAATATTCCACTCAAATTAAACTTAAAGTCAAGAATTCCATAATATATGACGAATCTAATGCAAGAAAGAATATCACTTTTTTAAGCCTAATTTTCTTTCTAATTTTTCATAAAGACTTTTTAAAAGAATATGATATTAGAAAATATCTAAGAGGTCAAGTTCTGGAGTTATTACCATACAACTTACAGGAAAAGAAACATTACCTGTTGAAACCTGGGCCAAAAAAAAAAAAAGACATCACCAGTCCAGAATTGGGCAAAAATAGGTAGGAAACTAAGGACTTCCACGAACAGTCCAAAAGAAATAAGACAATATGGGGGGGGGGGGGGAAGGCCTGCATTTCTCAAGGACCTCAGAATATGTTCCCCTGTTGTCCCAACACAAAGCTGACAGTGACATCTAGTAGAAAACATTAAACTCAACATTACATATTAACTCCAGTCTCCAAAACAGTTATGATTTAAGTTGACTCATACCACATTTGATATATATGCTATTCTGTAGAATTATCCAATGACCAAAACTTCACTGAGACATTGCTGGACCAATCTGCCCCTTTTACATTTAAAATCAAGTCACCCTGCTTCAACCCTCTGTGAAGAGGAGATACTTCATAAAGTAAACTGATATTGAGACCACAGCTCGGAGGTGGGGATGTGGCTCAATAATAGAGTGCTTGCCTAGCATGCAAGAAAACCCCAGCACCACAAAACACACACACAGCTTTCTTCAGTTGTCTCCCTACTGTGAATGTTTCACATCAAGGGTATTTATTGGTAAGAGGTAAGATCCCAGTCCTAGTTTATAATAACCATGATCATCCTTTTAGTCAAGTTATTTAATTTTTAAATCAAACAGGTGAATAACATTTCTCTTGACATGATGAACTGATAGCTCATTAGACTTTTTAAAATAATTATTTCCCATACCCATATATTCTGTTTGATGATTTAGATAATTAACTTCTTTAGACATTAACTTCTTTACACATCAAAGTCCTATCATTTCAATGCTTTATTTCCTTTCTTCCAGACATTAAAAAAGTCTGTTAAAAGCAGAAGCACTCAAGTCAATTTTCTCTAATAAATACAGTTAACATGGAACTGAAAACCTACTGTAATCTTCTCAATGGGTTAATGTCCTACAGTTGTTTCAGCTTTCAATTGAAATGCAGCTGTTTGCCATATTTTACAAAATGAATTCAGATGTGCAGATTGGGATCAAGATTATTTCAACATGCCACAGCTTAAATGTGAACCCAAGAAGAAGTTCATTTCTGATTAATACTATGTAAACCTGATCACTGACCAATAGCCAATACTATGTCACACCTCTAAAATCCCATTTCAAAGGAAAAAAAAAACAGCATTTTTTAATTTACAGCAATGGAATTTAGGATATACTTCTTTCCACAGAAAATACCGCCGCCACCCCCTCAAAAAAAAAATTGACACTGGGTTTCATTTAGAGATCATATTTTGAAGAGCTACCATGAGAAACACCTTTAAGCTTAGAAGACATCAAAGACTTAAGAATCTCATTATTACTAGTTTCTGCACCCTCAAAGCAAAAGCAAAATCTAGACTGTGAAATCTAGCAATCAATCCATTAATTAGTGGAATTTATCAGATAATAAAAATGGAATTTTTCATTTCCTCAGTTACATCACTGCTAAGAAAAAATAATTCAAACCTACACACTAATTTTGTAAACCCATAGAGTCTCAATTCTAATCATCCAGTCTGAAAATCTCACATAATAAAATAAACTTTCACAATTGGAATATTTTCATAAAACCTCAAAGGTAGGAAACAATTATGGTTACAGCAACACTATTATACACAGCACATCAATTCTGTTGTTTTTTTTTAACTCAAGTTATAGCATAACCTAAATTTCTACAAATGTGAAAAATAATACCAAATGGTCAATTACTGAGAATGAAATTTTTAAAAATGTACAAAGTATCACAAAACTTCCATATCTAGTATATTGATGTGGCTGCATCACTGTATTATGCTGTTTTTAAGTCCTTTAGATATTGATAACCACTGAGTCAAACAGCGATTCCAATCCAAATTTTCTAAGGAATTTTCATACTGCTTTCCATGGTGGTTGCAACAATTTGCAGTCCCACCAACAATGTATGAGAGTACCTTTCCTCTCCACATCCTCACCAACATTTATTGTTACTTGTATGTTTTTTTAAGTTGTTGATGTACCTTTATTTTTTATTTATTTTTATGTGGTGCTGAGGATCGAACCCAGTGCCTCACACATGCTAGGCAAGCGCTCTGTCACTGAGCCACAACTCCTGCCCATTACTTTTATTCTTGATGATTGCCATTCTGATTGAAGTTTCTTGAAGTGCCCAAGGACACACCACTATTTAGCAATACAGGTCGGGACTAAAACTAAGGTCCCGCTGACTTGTAGTCCAGAGTTCTTTCTACCATCCAACAAGAAACATAAAATTAAAAAAAAAAAAAAAAGAAAGAAAGTTTATCACAACTCACAAGACTGCCACAATTTGTCATAGGAAATTTTGTTGTGAAATATCTACCTAAATAGAACCACAATGCAGCAGTAAAGAGGAGGGTTATGGGGTTCAAACACAGGCATACCATTACCATCTGACTTTGGGCAAGTCCTGTCACCTCTCTGCCTCAATTCCCTCATGTCTAAAAAAGTTGTTTAAGGACTAGGGTTGTGGCTCAGCAGTAGAGCACTCGCCTTGCACATACGGGGCCCTAGTTTCAATCCTCAGCACCACATAAAAATAAATAAATAAAATAAACATTTTGTGTCCAAACTGCAACTAAAAAATAAATATATTTTTAAAAAAGAAGATATATGAATAAAGTTAAAATATATAGGATTCAGTCAAAAATAGCTACACCATTTAAAATAGCAAAGTACAAGTCAAGATAGTTTAAATAATTTACATTTGTTAATACTTTAGTTTATTATGCAAATATTAAAGAACTTATTTCTATATACTGTCCTCTGAATTCAATGAATACAGCACTTTTTCAGTAATGATCACATACCATATGCCAAATCACATGATTTTTAATGTTCATTATCTTTATTTAACCTTAAACATTCAATAACTATCAGCCAAAAATATTATCATGGCCAGTACTAGAGTGCAAAAACACCTGACAAGGGCTGGGGTTGTGGCTCAGCGGTAAAGTGCTCACCTAGCACGGGTGAGGCCCTGGGTTCGATCCTCAGCACCACATAAAAATAAACAAACAAAATAAAGGTATTGTGTACAACTAAAAATATATATATATACTTAAAAAACACACACACACCTGACAAACCCGTTCTAGAAAGAAAGAGCATCATTGATATCATTAGATAAAACTTACATGCCTGGATAAATAAATACAGGGAAAGTATTTTCAGCAAACTCCATGAAACACATCAAGTGCCCAAGAAAAAGGTTGGTTCTCTCTTAGCAATATTAGTAGAGTTGCTAATACTGTGTACAGAGTTGTAACCAGCTCAATAAAGCACCACTGCAGTGACTCAACAGTATTGTCGGGGGGGAAAAAAGTTTGCAGTAATAGTGCTATTTTACATACTACTTATGCTCTTACACAAAATATACAATTTTTACAGATTTAGAGTCAGTCTTTATGGCCAGGGGTACTAGGTTGACAAGATGAAATAAAATAAACATAAAAATGTCAATAAAATAAGACTACAATTTATAAATGTGTGTGTGTGTGTGTGTGTGTGTGTGTGTGTGTGTGTGTGTGCGTACCAGGAATTGAACCCAGGGGCACTTAACCACTGCACCACATCCCCAGTCCTTTTTAAATTTTATTTAGAGACAGGATCTCACTAAGTTGCTTAGGGCCTTCCTAAATTTCTGAGGCTGGCTTTGAACTTGGGATCCTCCTGCCTCAGCCTCTCAAGACACTGGGATTACACATGTCACCACACTCAGCTAAATATAAATCTTATTGGATGCTCACCAACAATCTTTTGGCGAGAATGGAAAGAAGTACTAATTTCATTTTACTGAAGAGGCAACTGAGGCTCAGAAAAGTGAAATACCTTAACTAAAGTGGCAAAGAAAATATGGTAGAAAGGACAAAAGCTAGTTTTTTTTTTTAATTCATTTTAAGTGTTCTTTTCATCAATCCACAGTGCATCTCAGAATATTAGTGTCTCTTCAAGATCAAACGTAAGGCTTTAATTGCTAATATTTATAAAGATGCATCTCATTTATCTCTTATAATTCAGGAAGTGGGCTATTACTATCTTCATTTTATAAATAAAAAAACTGAGGCTTTTTAGAAAAATTAAATAACTTGCCCCAAATCACATCATTATTAAGTAACTGAACAAAGACTCAAACTAGGCGTGCCTGACTCAGTAAAATACTTTATCCACTACAGTACAAATTCAATTAATACAATAATGCATTTGTCTGAATTATTTCTCATTATTTATGTAAACAACTCTAAGCAAATTCTTTCACATTCTAACACACAGCAAGCAGATTTCGGATTTCACTATTCAACGTCAAGATAAAACAAAACAGATGTTATTTCAATACAAATTCTCAATCTTCTGATTTGACTGAGAGAGACTTTCTTTGTAGTCTCCTACAACAACAGATCCCCCCACTCCAAGAATCAAAAATCAACCTACTTAAGATTTCTATCCAAAACAAAATCTTAAAATTACCAGTGTCTTAAATGGACAAGTAACTTGCTGGCCTTATTCAAAGTGTTTCATCTATTACTTAAAAACAAAAGCAGTAACGGTCACTGTTTTAGTAGTAGTAATATTTCTGAAATGGCAGTATGGTTAATTTCTCTAAAATTATATATTATGGATTTCAACATGCCTGAAAATATGGTGACCATATTATTATTTAGTTCCAAATGAGACTTTTTTTTACTATTTTTTTTAGTTGTAGATAGACACAATACCTTTATTTTGTTTATTTTTATGAGGTGCCAGGGATGAACCCAGTGCCTCATGCATGCTAGGCAGGAGCTCTACTACTGAACCAACACCCCGACCCCAAATGAGACATTTTTGATAATGGAAAAGGTTCTATTAATAATTATACTAGAACAAACATGGCTTCCCAGAAGCATTAAAGTATAGGGCCACCCTACATAAGAACCCATTTTGATTAGTATGTTATGAACTATTCTCTGCATATGACTTAATTCATGAGTTTTAAGTTATTGTTCCAGATCTACCAACTATCTTCAACCTTGAGAAAAAAGGCGTCATTGTACAGGCATCAGGCCAGAGTTAAGGTTGCTATCTGTAGTTTTTATTTTGTTTTTTAGGGTTCTTTAAGTTTTATTTTCAGAGGTTGGGGGTAGCTCAGTGGTAGGTAGAAAGCATGCTTAGCATTTGGGAGTCCCAGATTCTATTCCAGCGCAACCAAAAAAAATTTTAAATGTTTTATTTTTATATTTTATGTGCTGAAAAACACATATTTCAAAGAATCTTTGAAAGATCTATCGACAGATTTCACGTATCTAAGTTTTGAACACAAATAATAAAACTACTTCTCAAATGTCCCAATTTGCAAATGATAATGGAAAATTTTCCATTTTCAAACTACTATAATTTATCAAACTGCTTTATTATACAAAATGTTAAAAACACCAAAAAAAATCTTTCAAATGGAAAAAGCTTTAAAGAAAATAACCAAAATTATCAAAGTTGATGGAAACCCATGATCACAATATAGTATAACAATGACTCCAGTTAGCATTGTTAGGCCTCGCCAACTAAATCCTGCAGTCGTTTTACAAGCTAGGAGTCCAAAGAATCCTTTGCTTTAATTGTCAAAGATAAATATGTACTAACAGACCAATGATTTGAACTATAGTATTTGAGTTAAAAGCATTATTTGAATATATGTATGATGATACTTAAGAAAATAAATGTTACAAGACCTGGTTTTTCCGATTTAAAACTCAACCAAAACAAAAATTAGAAGGGCTGTCAAAATTTTAGACCTTCACTATCACAAGCAGTATCCAGTAGTCATATACAGCTGTTTAAATTGGAATTAATTTATTAATAAAATTAAAAATTAAGTTCCTCTAAAATAAATAAATAAATTTTTAAATGTAGAAAAAAAAATAATTTTAAATCTTAAAAAAAGAAAAAAAAGTTCCTCAGTGGCACTTTCCACACTTCAAGTGCTCAGTGTCAACTGGTGCCTAGTAGCTATCATAATGAGACCACAAAGATTAAATAACATTGCATAGCATTTCCGTTATGGCAGAAAGTTCTATTGGGCAGTGTGCCTTTAGACTTATAACACTTTGCTTGAATATCCTGAGACAAGAAACCTGCAACTGCACACAAAAAAGTGCATTCTGGTTTTGCAGAATACTATCAAATAATTGCTCCTCACAGCAGGTCAAACTCAGCCTATTTGGAACATTCCAGAAATTCCATCAGTTCCTTCTTCAAGTACATCTTTGCAGAGGTCTTCTCCTCCCAGATAAATATATACTCAACTTCTTCAGAATAATGTAAAGTTTCTATCTCTCGAGATATGCTAATTTATTCAGGTGTAGAATAATAGCACTGTGTCCAGGATGCTCTTTTAGTTGTGGTATACCACAACTTCAGTCTCATTTGTCAGCCAAGTGTCCTGATATTTAACTGAGAAAATAAGAATCAGTCTTTCTGAACTATTGAAACATGGAGATCAAAACCATCATAGCTATCATACTGAGCAGTGCCAAACACTGTTCTAGAAACCTCACCATTTTAAACTAAGCTATTACAATCCCCATTTCACAGACCCCGAAACCGAGGCAAAGACAGGCTACATAATTTCCCCGGTGGTCACAGATGTGGGCTCATTTCATCTAGAACGGTAGAGCTTTTCCTTTCTGGGCGCTACACGAGGAGTAAAGCTCTCCGAAGTCTCCCTCCACCGGGCCATGCTGCGACCTCTTCCTCCAGAGCCCCGCTCCCCCAGCACTCCCTGAAACACCCGCGAGGGCGCCGCTTAGCCCAGCACCGCCGCGGCTCGCCGGCCCAGCTCGGCGAGCCCCACGCCCACCGGCCAACGGGGAGGAGTCAGGAGTCAACCCCACAACCGCAGGGAACCCAGGCGCCGCGCTGGGCCGGCGCCGCACACAGCCGCCCGCTTGGCAGCCCTCGGGCGGACACGCCAATTGCTCGCCGGCAGCCGGGGCCAGGGCGGGGCATGCACGCGAGCTCGAAACGCCGGGCTCCGCACGCGGCGCCCATCGCGTCCCTTGACCTCTTCCCCGCTCCCCACCGCTCCCCACACTCCCTACAACCTCTGCTTTAAGGACACTTGTAGGCACGGCTGCGCGTCCCGCGTGGAGAATGTAGGGGTAGAGATGGCGCGGTTTCTGCTGCTGAAGCCTGGGACACGATTGAAAAGGGACGGAGTGGGGGACAGAGAGTGTAGAAAGGGAAAAGGTGACTGGGCTATGGGGGGCGGGGCAAGATGGCGGGAGCTCCACTCGGCGGGGCGGGGGTGGGCAAGACTGCGTTGGTAACGATACCGACGCCCCCACTCCTGGCGGCGCGGGCGCATGCGCACTGAGCCAGGTGACGCGCGGCCTCCGTCCTGAGCAAGCTACTTCCGCCAGGCTCCCGGGGGCGGGGCGCTGTGTGGCCAGAGAGCCCGACGTGTGCAATGCCAAGCCACTCTATGGGCCTCGGGTCGCCAGTGGTTTGGAACTGTGATGGGAGCCAAAAGGTGTACGCTGTCCAGGCTTGAAGGCCTTAGGAGTGGGCCTGGCGTGGGAGAGCCAGCGGTCCTGAAGGATTCTGTCACCTACATAAGGAGTTTGTTTTCCACTCTAGAACCCAAAGGGGCCAACACGGTGCTCCTTCAAGAATGGTGGGAACATGAGGTTAAGAGAATAATTCTGTAAAATGGGCCCACTGTGCTGTTCCCCACATGTTTTCTTTTCTAAGAAGCAATTTAAGTCTTGGTAGCAGGAATCAGGATTTGGAGAAGGGGTCTTCCCATTGCCCCAGCTTCTTGGAAGGCCCCAAAACTCAATAACAGTCTTCTCTCCCGATTTTTGGCTAGAGATGAAAATCTTTAAATAGTACAGTTATAAGACAATGATTTTGGCTGTTTTCACTCTTTGGAACATTTAGATTCTTATTTATATTTGTAATATTTTCAGCTGCTTAGGAAAGAAAACCGATTATCCATGCTCACATCCATTCCTACATGTCACATATTATGAAATATTTAATAGAAATTCAACTGTTAACCTTTACCAGGTCTTTGCAAGCATTACTGCTTCATTTATTTTCTTGCCTATGAATACTACGTTCTGAAATAATCCCTTTCTCCTATTTGCTTATGTTGTTTAAAATAGTGATTTATTTGGTTATTTCCTCTATGAATTGTAGTTGGATTATCTATGCATTTTGCGTTTGGTTCCTTTCAATCGCTCGAGCACTTTGATATTTGCCAAATCCTTAAAAATTGGGAAAAACAAATATTTTCAGGTTATGAAAGTTCAGAAATATGTAAATCCAGAATCAGTTCCTGCTAGGCAGTGCAGTACAATAGAAAGCAATAGAATTGTCCTAACTTCTTAAAAAGGAAGACTAATTTGTATAAAATAGTTGAAAAGATGTTTAATACATTGCCAAGTAAATAGTCAAGAGAAAAATTATACTGAAAGAAATATAACTCCAAGCAGATTATCTTAATTAAAATTATGTTCAGTTAATATTGCTGTATGTAGTAACTGGTGCATGGGAGTTTTACCAGCATCATGGAAATCAGATTTTACTTAGCTTATCAGACTAGAATACATATCTTACTGTCAGGCTACTGATTTTTTACTCCCCTATGATCACATACAACTGGAGTTAATGAAAGTGGAACATGGAGAAAGAAAACTGAGCTAAGGCCTTGGTACAGAGAGCTTAAAAATTCATTCTTAGGACATTTTGAATTATACTGTTGGCAGAGATCATGGCTTTAAGTCTCTTGAATTACCTTAGTGCCTCTACTTCCTGTAATCTGTACAAATTTGGTTTTCAGAGTTTGATTTAGCCACAGTTTTGCTTGTAGTTTGAGACATTGTTGTCCACAGTGGTGCAAAATTACTTTCTATTATACTAGTATCAAATATTCTAAACTATCAACATTACTAGAATATCTTAATTATAATAAAACTCAAGCAATAAAACTGTTGCTGAAGTTAAGAGTTTGATGAGGAAACACATCAGGAGACCAAGTGGATTAATTCATCACACCACAAAAAATGTCCCTATACCTTGAATAAAGTCACTAAAGGAATATGAAACATTGTTAGCATAGATATTTACATTCCTCTGGAATGATAACCTTCATATAAGAGTCACCTATACAGAGAGAAAAGTCCACGAATCTAAGTAAAGAGGTCCTTTGGCTTCATAAAAATTATTGGATTAAGTAACAAAAGCTGCTGTCATTCTCTAAAGAACAGCACAAGCTGTGGCTGATTTGCAACCATCTCTGTAATAAAGTGGTTTCTTCACTTGTGGATACAATGGGGATAGTTTGCTTCAAGTGGCCTGCAAATTTTTACTCTCTTGTGAGTCAGGACTCATTTGTTAGGATGCCTATGGAAACTTTATTAATATTTATCAATTATTTTATCCATTGCTACATTTGCCTTAGTTTTGTAATGCTGAAGTTGTCATGATGGAAGTAAACTGGTAGAATTGCACATTACTTCGAATTTTAAATAGCATTTGTTACTATATTCATCTAATTTTCTAACATTGAGAACTGTTTTTTAATTATAATCTCAAATCTTGTTTTATTTTTAGAGCGACCTTTTCTGACCAAAAAAAGCATACAGTTGTGTGGTACTTGGGCAAGTCTATAAGCCTCAGTTTTCATATCTGTAGAATGAGGTGATTGAACCAAATGAGCTAAAAACTTGCAGTCCTGAAATTCTATTCCCCTTTAATATAGGAATGGCCAAAGATGGATCCTAAAGTTGTACAGAATAATGATAGCATTTATACTACTAAAAATTATGTGAATATGCAGAACTCTTGCTTTAGGCTGACCTGGATTTTCAACTGATGTTATTCATTTCAAAATAAAAACCAACATGAAAAAAAATCAAATTTATTGATATATAGAGGTGGTGAGGATCACAAAATTATTCATGTGCAATTAAATTACTTCCTATACCTTCCAATTATATTCTCAGATTTCAAAGCAGGAAGAGCATCACAATGTTGAGAAAAGAAATGTTAAGAATTGCAGTGCTACTTGCCTAGCATGCACAAAGCCCTGAGTTCAATCCATAGCACTGGAGGGGGGGGAGAGAGAACTAAGGTAACTTATGAGACTATAATCATCATTAACCTCTTGTAGTTTTAACACTCCAGTATATTTTAAGATTAGCATTTGGCTTCTAAGAAAACAGTTTGTGTTTTTAAGAGTAAGAATGGGAAGGGAATCAGAATATCAAGATTTCAAAAAGCCCTTGAACTCTGTAGGCACATGGGAACTTAATTATTCCCATTCCCGTAGAATCCAATATCTAAGATTCTTATGGTAGAAACAAACAACTTTTACATTTCAACAAATATTTATTGTGGGCTTACGATGTTCCTGACATATTTTAGAAGCTGCAGATATAGCAGTGAATAAGAGACATGAATCCAGGCCATTATTGAACTCATTCCAGTAGGAGGAATTAGACAATAAAATAAATACCTGCATTAGATAATATGTTATAAGACAGTGAGCCTTATGAGGGGGAAAAATTGTAAAACCAGTGATATGGAGTGAAATAAAGCACAAGTGAAATGGAAGAGTTGTAATTTTAAATTGGGCATGTGGGGTAGGCCTCACTGAGAAAGTGGTATTTAAATAAGGGTTTGGGAAAGTACAAATAACTGAAGAAAGTATTCCAAACAGCAAAGAACAACCTATATCATGTCCCTGAGGTAGGGACAATTCTGTAAAGTTGAAAGAATTGCCAGCAGGCCATTTTATCAGACAAAGATTGATCCAGGAAGAAAATAATAAGAGGTGAGAGGAGTACTAGGAAGTCATGGAGTAGAAGGTCTTACGTGCCTGGGCCTGGGAAGATTTTAGCAGAGGACTGACATCATGTGATTTAGGCTTTAAAATGCTTACTCTGATTGCTGAATTGAAAATAGTGTGTAGAGTGACAGAGGTCTTATTGCAGTATCCCAGGCCAAGAAAAAAAAATTGATGGTATCTTGTCCTAGAGTTGTAAAGGCTTTGAGACAAATCTGGGTTCTGGATATATTTTGAAAATCTAAATAATTTGATGACATAATGGATTTGGGGTTCTAGAAAAATAGAGAAATCAAGGATGATCAAATGGTCTGAGAAAATGGAAAAATGAATTTGCCTATATTAGCAGAGATGGGTAAATCTGGATGTGGACTATGCTGGGTTAATATAAGCAATCAAGAATTGAGTTTGTGAGGCTGGGGTTGTAGCTCAGTGGTAGAGCACTTGCGTAGCACCTGTGAGGTCCTAGGTTTGAACCGCAGCACCACATAAAATAAATAAAAGATTAAAAAGAAAAAACAATTCAGTTTGGGGAATAAATGTACTACTTAAGTACATTTGTGTAATCTTTAGTGTTTTTGCCATCACAGATAAGAAAATGAAAGAACATTTAGATTTGTAACATTTAATAATTACTTAATTTCTAATCCTTTTTGTGTAATAGAAGCTCATTTAGACCTGCCTAGTATATATCAAGGAATATTTTACTTTTCTTTTAAGAAAATGTGAGAAAAGCTAACTATCCTTTTTTAAAAAAAAAATAAAAAAGAATTTTTAAAGGAAATGTTGGGGATCTATCAATACCTAAAAGCAAATTGGATTACTCAGTTTACTCAGAGATAAATATATGAAAACTTCTAGTTCCTTAGAGTATTTTCAGTAAAGTTTTTAAATGTAAACTGGATGTGTTTCAGTGAATTATTCAAATAACTGCCTTCCTTTTCTAGTACACATGGAAACAGGGCCAAAAATTAATTGGTGCCATGTGAAACAAACCACAGTGTGGCTAATACAACCTGCTATTCCTAATTCACACTCTGAATCTGGATGCAATAAACCTATTTTGACTAAGTAGTGCTTAGATCAGTTGTTAGTGTTCAGAGAACTATACCAACAAGTTTAACCAAGTTACTTTATTTTTTCAGATGCAGCTTATGCTATATTTTTCTCACTCCAGAATATATTTAAAACAATCTCATTAATTCAGTCCATATAGTATTAAAATATGGCCTTTGGTGTCACTTATTACCCATAGTAACCTGGACAAGTTATTCAACCTCTTTGAAAATAAGTGTCCTCCACTGTAAAATAAGGATAAGCATACATACCTACATGGTAGAGTTGTTAGGATTTAAATGGAATATTCTTAACAAATTGAAAGTGTTCTGTGATTTGTAGTTGTCATTGTTTTCTAGTTTTTAGTTATTAAAAATTTTTGTTTATATTTTTAATGCATTTTATCAATATGACAA